AGTTGTGGTCGTACGTCGGATTATCTTTGTGTGTCCTTCCAAATGCTTCTACCTATAATCGTTGAGGGCCAGAGGCACTTTCATCAGGTGTAATTCTCACCTGCGGAAACCTTGACTTTGTCTACTCAGTCATTAAAGATCCCGGCCAGGCTGCTTTGGGCCTCCAAGGGGTTTCCTAGATTCCCAGGTTCAGAGGGAGCTTTGATGCCCAGCCGTCCGGCCGTCGGTCGCTGCAGCACGGCAAGGGTTAACATAAATGGGAGGCTGCTACTTCAGGGCACCAGCTGCTTTTGCCTGGGATTCACAAGGCCCTCGGGATCTCTTAACCGTCTCATAAACTTGGTGTTAGTGGAGGCCAAGCCTTGCATCATTAGCATGGGGGTGGGGGCGGGCAGGGGGCCTCTCTTGTAAGCACCAGCACTTGCACAAAGAAGTCTCTCCGTTCTGTTGTTTAGCTACCATCTTGTCCCAAGATTTGCAGACCCCAATAAGGTTTAACATTGTGGGACGGGGGAGGGGGGGGGAGAAGCAAAGGGCATTCCCTTGGCATCATTTGCTAATGATTTGAGGCTAGAAGCTGCTGCCAAAGATTAAATCAGTTGTTTCCAGTCTTAATGGATGATTGTCAGTCTTCTCCTCCCCTTCCTTTCCCATTCTCTTCTTTCTCTTCCCTCCCCTTCCTCCTTTCCTTCCTCCTCTCCTCCTCTCCCTTTTCCATCCCCTTTGCCCTCTTCCTCTCCTCTCCCCTTCTCTGCCCTTTCCTTTCCTCCCCTTCCTCCTCTTACTCTTTCTCTCCTTTCTTCTTGTCCTCTCTTCTTCTCTTTCTTCCCCTCTCCTCTACGCCTTTTTACCCTTCTGGAGCTCAGCTACGTGGGAGGTGACTCCTTTTCCCCTTATCCGAAAGAGCTCTGCCGTGAATGGGGACCTGCCGAAGTAGGAGCCCCGAGACACGCTGAAGGTCGGGCCTGAAGGACACGGATGCACAATCAAAAGGCTAAAGTGACATTCAGCCCCTATGGACTAGCAACGGCAAAAGACCATCGCAGAACTAGGAAGATTTGACTCCTCCAGCAGGCCCCAGATGGCAGAAGCTGCTTTGGGGCTGGCTGGCTGGCTGGCGGGACAGCAGAGGGTCCCAGCTAGCCTGAAAGCTTTCTTCCCAGGCCCAGACTCTCTCCTCTGACGAACTATTAGGAGCAGGATTCCCCTAATTACTGATTTCTTCAGATGCGGCCTATTTGTTGGCGGCCGGCAGCTTGCAATGCTAAAATAGGAAAATATTTTCCAGCACGAAAAACAATATCTTGAAATCTCCGCTGCTAATTAAGGCTGGCTTCCAAAGTTCACAAAAGAGGGCTGTTTTCATCCGCCTGCCAAAAGATGGGGCTAACTGGACCTGCGGGAGAGGCTTTAACCCACCGGGAAGGGGATGCTATGAGAAGGCCATCTACCATCTGCCCGGATGCCCCGAGGGACCCATAACACACACACACACCCAACTAGATTGAGTAGGGCACTTGGGTGGGCGTTCCAAGAAGGATCACTCCTCTCTGTCAGTCTGGTCAGTCTTCCCTCCGGCTAGGCAATGGGGGAGCTTTAAAAGCCAGCTATCCCTGCCCTGTTTTGTTCCTATTCTTCTCTTTTTCTAGACACTCCCACAGTCAAAAAACTCAAAACATTAGCCATACTGGTGCAATCAGATGTTAAGACTCTAGAAAGAGTGCAGAGAAGAGCAACAAAGATGATTAGGGGGCTGAAGGCTAAACGTATGAAGAACAGTTGCAGGAATTGGGTATTCTAGTGTCTAATGAAGAGAAGGACGAGGGGGGACATGGTAGTAGTGTTCCAATATCTCAGGGGCTGCCCCAAAGAAGAGGGAGTCAAGCTATTCTCCAAAGCACCTGAAGGCAGGACAAGAAGCAATGGATGGAAACTGACCAAAGAGAGAAGCAACCTGGAATTAAGGAGAAACTTCCTAACAGCGAAGACAATTTACCAGTGGAACAGCTTGCCTCCAGAAATCGTGGGTGCTCCATCCCTGGAGATTTTTAAGAGGAGACTAGACAATCACCTGTCTGAGATGGCAGAGGTTCTTCTGCTTGAACAGGGAATTGGACTAGAAGACCTCCAAGGTCCCTTCCAACTCTGTTATTCTATTCTATTCTATTCTATTCTATTCTATTCTATTCTATTCTATTCTATTCTATTCCTATTCCAATTCCAATTCCAATTCCGTTCATGGACTCCTGGTTTCTAATCCAGCAATTTCACCACTACCCCAGACTGCCGCTCCTTGCTGCATCGGCTGCCACGTCCACCTAAACTCAACCCTCCCTTTTTAAGCCTAACCAGCTTCAGACCTGATGATCTTCTGCTCCTGCCAGCAGCTGAAGGCTCTGTACTAATGCCTGAGGGATTTCCACCCCCACACAAGAACATCTTGTCCTTAAAAAAAGAAAGGGAAAAAAAGGTGGGAGCTGATGACGCTTGACTTGCCTGGCAATGCGGTCAGTTGCAACCATCAAGGCAGTAAGAATATGCCACAGCTTTTCATCTAATAATAATAATAATAATAATAATAATAATAATAATAATAATAATAATAATAATAATAATAATAGTAATAGTTTGAAGGGACCTTGGAGGTCATCTAGTCCAACCCCCTGTTCCCTGTACTGACGTTGTTAGTTTGAGGGCTGCTCTGACACACCCAAGCTGAGGGTGGGAACACTGACACCGCTAAGCAGCAGCGCCTGTCCCCTTTTCCTTCTGTAGCCACTTGGTCGCAAACTGAGGACTGGACGTTCGTCAAGAAGGCGAAGCAGGAGGGGCGCAAAGCAGCGCGAAAACGTCGCCAAGGCACCCCCCCGCTTACCTAAATGCGCATGCGCGGCCCGCCCGTCACATGCCGCCCGCCGAAGAGAAGGGGAACTTCACCTGACCGCGTAGCAACTGCCCCGTTGCTATAGAGCCGCAGCGACCCGCCTCCCTGGTTCGCGCGAGCCTTTCAAGACCAGCCAATCTCTTGCTCTTCTTTTCCCTCGGCTCAGCGTTTACCGGCCTGCCGGGCTGCCACTCGGGAGCGATGCCGGGCCTTACCGACCAATCGATGGACGGCATTAGGAGGCCCCGCCCTGCCCCAGCGACACCAGTTCTGTCAATCGGAGCTGTCAGGAACCGGCGACGGCGGCGACACGGAATAGGAGGAAAGGGGGGGGGTCCTCCGCTGGCCAATCAACGGCGAGGGTGGGCGGCTTCCGAGGGATCTATTTCCCCCCCCCCGATCACGGTTTATTTGAGGAAGCGGCGGCTGCGATGCGGAGGCTGTGAATTGGGGTCAGGGGCTCCGGAAGAAGGTAAGCTTAGGGTCTCCTGCCTGGCTTGGACCTTCTGGGTCGGGATCCGTGGGAATCCCTTGCAAAGAACGTGTCGATTTGATCTGAACTCAGGATCTGACTTCCGGAGACACCGGGTCCTGGTTGATAGATTGAGCCAAATTGAATCGTTTACCATGGTTCTTTGAATGAGCCACAAATGTACTGGCTTTGCACAGCCTAATAAGCCACAAATGAATTGGCTTTGC